AACAGCTGCACTATCCTGATAAGTACGAGGCTGGTGCGGCTGTCTTTCTCAACGTTTTCTCCCTTCGAAACACGTTGTTGCTTTGTAAAGATTCGAAAAGGATCACGTCAAACGAGATTGCAGATAAGCTTCTTCGAAAATGCTGAAATGGCTGAATGAAGTCACCTCGGTCGGAGTGGTGTCCGACAAGTGCGACGATGGTCGAGAAGAGTTTGAGGGCAACGACGATAACATGATGATCGACTTGATCTTGGCCGAGGTGGAGGCAAAAGTGGCTGCTTTCGAAACTGAACAGGTAAACTGAAATCTTCGACTTGGTTCACAGATTCCAATGAGCAGGGTGTGGATTACGGTAGGCAATAATAATGTGAAATCTTCAGAACAGTAGGTGATTCTTATAGAGAACTCACTTGACTAACACGCAGAATAGTAGAGTCCCATGCGTGCAATAAGCAGGATTGAAAAATTAATAAAATTACGAAACTTCATGCTAAATAATTATGAGGATAATAGTTGCCAGTGAAAGTCGGAAGGCACCTTAGAATGGAACCATTCTTTTACCTATTCGTTCTTCTGAGGACATTCAAAAATTGGGCCACTGGATATAGAAAATGAATAGCTGGGGAAAGCAGGAATTCACATATGATACTAGCTCGCTTCCCTACTCCTCTCATCCCATCATCATACTTTCAATTTTTCCTGTTCTTGCCACCAAATTAACGCTTCTCCATTCCCCGCAATTCCCATTGGCATGAGGGCAATACAAGGACCGTGAAATTAAAAAAAATCCTTTTGAGGACTACTCTACTTGCAACTGATGTAACCCTTCTAAAAGGTAATTCTGAACGTATCTCTAATGTTAACCTCCGAGCAGATAAAAAATGTCCTCTCTTCGTTGTAGAATCCTCAACAACGCTTTGCGTTCATAAGATTAAGGGTTAAAGGATAAAGCATTTGCCGTTGATCAATCCCTTTTTGGGATGCGGCACGCATTCCATTTGTACATTCGTAGTGGCGTTTGAATGCGATGTGGCCTATACAATGACTTGCGGGGCCAGCCGATGTACAAGTCAGTGTTTTTATCCTCCCAGACAAGTCTGGTACCAATTAACCGACCCCGGAGGGATGGAAGGCTTGGTTGGCCCGGGCGACTCACGACCCAGGATTTGATCCCGGACCGCTCGCGTGGTAAGCGCGCCACTTCCACCCTTTGCGTTCACATAAAAATAAAACCTGTTTGTTCGCAAAACGTTCATGAGTTGTGGTCTCACCATTTTTCGCTATGAAAAATTTCATATTACACGTTTAGATCCAATACGTATGCCTTATTCGGTCCACCTGTTCGCAAGTTGCCTAACGCAAGAGAAGCACTGGAAGCTTGGGGTCAAGGTATCCAGATTCTGCACATGGCGTGATGATGTTGGCCATTAGAGAAGCTGAACCTGTGAACTTTGCGCGGTGGAATCTTCTTACAGCAGCGCTAATGCAAAGTTTCCCATCTCTTCTCCCTAATGGTACCAAGGGACGTCCACAAAGCGTCCTGTTGTCTTGATGAGCTCCGCTGTCACAAACACAGGAGTGAAGTAAGGGTGCGGCCAGTCATGGAAACGCTTGGGATCCACAGAAGCGCGTCACGGCATCATTCAGTCATTGCACGGACGAAAAACTAGCCATAGCAAAGGATGAATAAAAAAAGTTATTGCGCTGGTCCCGTTTTTCTGAAGGATTAGTTCCATAGAAATGCTATTTCTCTCATCTCTTCGGATAACTAAAACCTGTTGGAGAATCTATGAAGTTTTGCGCTTGGGAAGATTTTGTATTATGGACAGAACTCAGCCTTACATCCCACGCTTGCAAGGCTTCTGTTTCTTGGGGAAGATGAAACACACAATGGCTTCCCGTAGGCTTCACTTATATTGAAGACCACAACCTTTCCAGAAGTTTCTAAATGATAATCTTTCTTAATCCTAAGCCGTTACATTAGACATAGGGCTTCACGTGAAAGCACGAGATGTTTCACAAAACAGGAAGTGGTATCATCAAATGGAAATTGTCCTTTGTCGTCTACAAGAGCGAATTTCTTCGCCGTGAGCTTCTTGGTATAAAATTTGTAAATGTATCTATAGCGAATTTACGCGCTGTCAGTAAGAATAACAATAACAAACAATTAGCACCTTTGCTTTTTCTTCGCTGCTACATATGGGTTTATGAAATTAAAATGAAAGGTTTGAACAGTATACTTAGGGATACGCCACGCATTCAACCAACACTCAGAATCGTAGCGGTTTTTTGTTGACGTGTTTGACCTATACGAATGATACCGGCAAAGCTAGCTTCTCTATGAGGCTTCGTTCTTTTCGAACCATCCCGGAAGCAATCAAGTAACCTCATAGAGACGAGGGAAAGCTTTGTTTTGTCTGGGTGGGATGTGAACCAAGATTGGCTATGCGTCCGTAGCCTAGCTTACCACTATTTACTTTCCGTCTTAAAGATAACATTTCATACTATTCAATGTTCAATGAGATAAGGTTGCGTAACTCACAGATGGTATTCTGTTACAATGGCGAGGCGTGCCACGGATATGCCGAGCTCCATTTATGTGATTTCTGGCTTAAGTAGAGGAATTCTCCGCAAAAAATGTACATGGCAATTTTGAACAACTTTATACCCAGATCAAAAGACGGGAAATGGTTATCACAATTCAATTTCTAGAGGACTGGCACCTTGAAACGGCGCGAAGCCTTGAACCTCCCTCTTTTATTTCCTGTTCCTCTCCTTATCATCCTCTCCTCCCTCCACTACTCAGCTACCCTGTAGAACCTTGTAGAATGACCAAAATTGCGCTAACTAGGTGTTTATATAGCCGTTGGAGTGTTATCACAAGCGAGCCATTGTAAAACTGATAGGGGAGGTCCTGCGAGCTACCCAGATTTGTCCCAAACAGGGTCAACCGTGAGGTTCGCATTTTTCAGAAATTTCGCGACCCCCTCCTCCACCACCCTCGCCAGAGTGGCTGTTCCTATAGTATTTGATTCTGAGATCAGTCGACACAGCCCAATTCCGCCCACTTCCCAAAATCAATCACAAATGCGACCTTCTCGTTCGAATAGTGCGAACGGGCGGCTGACCCTGGTCCCGACGTCCTTAAAGCCGACTAAGATCGTTGATGCTCTCAACCTAGCTGGAACCCGCCACGGCAGAGCAAACGAATTTAATTCTATACAGAAAAACAATTCTGATTTTATACTCAACTACATAATTTACATTATAATGTTGTGTTTACTACGGCTCGACAAGCCCGATATTTCAACGTTCGCTCAACTCAGAGGGTCGAGCTCTGCAAACCATTGAGAAACTCGTACTACATACAATGTATCGTAGCATTCAAAAGAAACTTATCTGCACTCTTGCACAATGTTGAAATTAAGCCACATTTTGATTTTTACAGGAACTGCGAAAGTCTCAGGAATGTCTACAGAAACGAATTCCTGATTATTCATGGCTAATTAGCGACGTGTCGCAAAAACCGAAGAAATACTTGACAATGACCGTAAGCCAATTTCTATATTGCAAACATTATTCACATACGTAAAAACAAGTACTCTACTTGGAAATATTCTCAATGAAAAGTTTTTTAAGGAACGTAGTCGACTGACCAGAGCATGTGAACGAATACGAGCTAGCGAATGGTCGAAACTGATCAACCTGTGGAAAGCACGTTCCAAGGTATTTTCCAACCATTTTCTTCTACCCTTGTGTTTTTGAAAGTGATTCAGAATCGCTCACAGAGCCCATTTTGGACGCATGTGCGATTGCTGCGCCTTTCTCATT